AACTACGAGTCGCGCACATGTAAATGAGTGTTTTGTGTGTTTGAGCCTCTGTGAAGCTCAAAGCTGATTTTGCTCTGCAGGTATGTGCACGACAAAAGCTGCGTGGCAACCACCGGTGACATCACCGTCTCCGTTTCTACCTCCTTCCTGCCAGAGCTTTCATCCGTCCATCCTCCACACTTCTTCTTCACCTACCGCATCAGGTAACTTCCTCTCTGCTCGCCATGTCTCTCACCGCCTCTTTCCAGCGTTTTAATGACCCGGCGTGTGTTTTCAGAATAGAAATGTCCAGCAGCGCCTCGCCTGAAGCCGCCTGTCAGCTCGACAGCCGCTACTGGAAAATCACCACCTCTGACGGCAACGTGGAGGAAGTCCAGGGTCCCGGCGTGGTCGGTACGCTGCCCGCATCACACCTGGGCTGCTCCACTGTGATTGGCTGAGACCAGCTGCTGAATGTGTGTGTTTGTGTGTGTATCTGTGCAGGGGAGTTCCCGGTCATGACCCCTGGAAAAGTACACGAGTACGCCAGCTGCACGACCTTCTCCACTTCGTCAGAGTACATGGAGGGTCACTACACCTTCCACAGACTCGGTAACTACCTCCACCTGTAACAGAAATGCCTCCCAGATGTTTTGCTGCTGTTCTCATATTTGTTTCTTTCATAGCCAGTAAAGAGGAAGTTTTCCAGGTGGCCATACCTCGTTTCCACATGGTCTGCCCCCCCTTCAGAGAGCCTGTGGTCCGAACGGTAAGAGGTTCTGCAACGCTCTGAAAATCAAAAGACACTTTCAGGGGGTTTTAGACTGAAGTCAAAACTGAAACGTAATTATTTGTTTGTTTTCAACATCTGGCATTGATGCACATGGCTGGTTAACTGGAGACAAATGAACTACAAAGACAGGATTACTGCAAAGGGAAGTGGCTGAGAAGGTACTGCAGGAAGACGAAATGAAAAGTCAAACTTCCAGGTTTATGCAGCACAGCTTTACTCTAGTGAGCTGAGGGCAGTAAACATAAATGTAAGAGGATGAGGAGAACACCAAGATGATATCAAGGACAAGAGCAACTTTAAGGTCAAGAAATTGTTTGTTTAATGCTTTAAGATATTCTTAAATCTTCCACTCTGACAATTTGTTTGTGCTTAATTGGAGATTATTCCAGGTAAAAGGTGCAGCAAATGTAAACTGTCAGGAATCAAACACAGGGAGAAGGAAGACTTGATTATGGTTTCTACACATGCATGTACAGAGATAAGAAGTAACGTACCCGAGCAGAGCTGTGTATATTAGAAGAATCAGTAGGAAGCTCTGTACGTATACAGTGATGTACATGATTTCCACAGTGCTGTCTTCAGGTGTTGGTCAGGTGTATTCATAAAGAACCGATAATCCAATAAAATGAACAAATAAATAAATCAAGTTACCAGAATTACTAGTTTCCTTACCTGGAGGGGGAAACAAGATTCCTAACAAACTTGGAATCTTGGAAACATTAATGAAGCCTCAATACTTGGCTGTTGTGATCGCTTCAGTTTCAGGTCCCAGAACAATTTTGATCTTCGGAGATCTGATAAATTAAAAGTCCCCTGTACTCTGGAGGTTTGTTGCATCTTGCATCTCTCACTCTCTGCAGTCTGAGTTTAAAAATGTAAAAGCTGCAGGCTGGGCTGCTGGTGATGGAAAATCATTAGCTACACTGAGAGAGTCTGACTGTCATTAGTCCAGATTTTAGTTTCTGTTTGATTTTAGCTGCTGAGAGCACCCCTGCTGCAGACAGCGGACATCAGGAGCTGACTTCACGGCCAGTTTGAAGTGTTTCCGTCACACAGCTTCACCGGGGTTGGCTGGCTCGCCTTTTATCAAAGAAATCAAGCCTAAAATTAATTTAAAGAGTTTACTAATTACACTGTTTACTACTTACAGTCGCTATCTTGCACAACTCACTGAGCTCAGCATACTGTTCACTGCTGAGGGGGTGCCCTCTAGCGGCTTTTTAGTGAAACATGACTTTAGCGTAACATCTGTGTCAGTGTAAGTGACACTGTTAGGCTTTCTAAATATCTTGGTATGGTGTGATACCAGTATGGTGTCCAAGCGCACCATAAAGTACCTGCAGAAACCACCAAAAATTAAACGCATAATGGCTGAAAAGTGACCCAAAAATTTACTGAAAACAGGTAAAAAACTGGTACAGACGTGCAGATCAGCCACCAACACCGTGTCTTGCTTCTGTATTGGAGGGTTAAAGAAGGCGTCGCCTCCTTTAATGATCTCAATGATCAGCTTCAGACTGTCCAACCTTCAGCACTTGCTGCTCACGCTCTCTTTTGTCTCTTCTGTTTTGTTCCCGACGACATCTGATCCAAGCAGCAGAAGGCGTTGGCTAGCTACACGCCTCGCTTCGACGACCACGACGACGACGACCACGACGGCGAGTACTGCGACGGAGACGGCGACGACTTTGACGATCTTAGGGGAATCAACATGGCTGCCTTGGAGGGAGCATGGTGTCCTCGACACATCTGACCTCTGACCTCCCAACATCATAACATGCTGATGTCAGTTAATTGGGTTGATGAACATTAAAAGCTTCCGTATGGCCTTTGATTGACTCGCAGCAGGGGATTATGGGACGGGTTGTACCAATGAACCCACCAAGCAGAGCCATACGGGGACCGAGTCGCACCAACTTCCAGCTGCCAGTGAAACAAAATCAAAATGTGAAAGTGCAGTTTTATAGAAATGGTCTTTTTCTGTTGGGTGTTTAAGCTTTTGTCAGGACACTGTTTGATAAGTGAGGATGAGACGGGCTGGACGCCACTGGCGTTGGCCTTTTAAAGGAGCACCGTGGTGATCTGTGGCTCCCAAACAAACACAGCAGGGAACAAACTGACGCCGGTGGCTTCAGGTTCCAGTTTAGAATGAGAAAAAAGCCGATTTGTGTCGACTACAAGACTTAAATCTGGAGTTTTTTTGTGAAATGGAAAAAATGTGGGTCTGTTACTTTTGTCCATAAGATTTTAGTTCTCAGAGGGATAATGCTTCTCCTTCTTTAAATGAGAAAAGCCGTGTTTTTTTTTTTTTTTTTTTGGGGGGGGGGGCAGGAACTTAAGCCTAACTACTGATAGATTTTGGTTTTTTATGGCTTCCTAGCCAAAATTTAATGAAAGACAGATTGTTTTCCAAAAAATATGTTATTCTGCAATATTCTGCCCCCTAGCGGTAAGACTTCACAGTATCTGCGGGTAAAAAGATGTTATGCTGCCGTCTTAAAGTGTAATCTGAGAGACGCTGCAAGCAAATTTCAGTATGTGTGTGGTGATTTAATCCTAGCATGCAGTCATTTGGTCTAGAAAACACCAACCAGCCCAATGTGGCCTCATCGAAAGGATTTTTTCATCCAACAAAACCATTCAACACCTACAAAGGTAAACAAGGAAAATCTGAAAACCTGAAATCAAATATTCCGAATTTTTCCTGTGTTAGTAAATAGCAGGTATATCGTTGGATTAGCGATGAGCAACCACTCAAACATCTCACATGTCTGAAGCCTAAACTTTTGGGAATTATTTGAGGCTTTCATATGAGACGCTTTTTTAATTTGAGAGAGGCGATTCAACATTAGCCTTCCCCCTAGTGGATAAACTGAGCAGTGCAGCTGTTATATGTGTGTTATTAAAAAGGAAAGATCTCCACAGCCAAAGGTTTTATTGCATATTTTTATGGTTTCTGCTCCTTAAATCTGGTGCTTATCCTTTGTCATGTGCCAGCAAATCACACCTTCAGCCAGTATTAAAACCCGAGAGAGACACAATAAAGAAAGTAAATTAATACAATAATAAATACTTGCAGCTATAGATGATATGTTACCTTTAAGATGAGTTGTAGTCATACAGCTTTAAGTTGGTGCAGTGAAAAAGAAAATCTGGGTTTATTGTGGTTTTTCCAAAAAGAAAAAATTATTTCAAAATAATGTGTACACGCAATGGCAGGCAGAGTGTGGTAAGAGAAGAGGACTTGGGTTTCTTTTATCTGGGGGTTAAAGTTGTATGCTTCACGCTGCTTTCTTAGACTTGAGTTGGTATCTTAAAGCAGGTCTCCTTCCTTTCTGTCCGGTGGAGGCGGGACAGTCAGCGGGTTTGTTTTTGTATGTTTGGATTAAATAAATCTCTTATATTCACTGCTACTGAGTCTCTTCACTTTTACACGCTCGCTTCAAGGTGATTTTCTCGCACACTGTAAAAAGATTAATTCCAGAGCTTTAGTGAGACTTCACCAGCCTTTTAAAGATTGAGTTTATTTCAGATACCTGCCCTTTTTACAGCTTTCATTAGATTAAAACAAATTGTTTCAGCTCCCTTAAAGTTGATTTTATTCTGATTGGCCGGTTCCTGGAAGCTCTTAGACTTTTCCAGAGGCGTTTCACATGTACCACAGGCTGTCTTAGCCGCCGGTTTTTCCAATTGGCTGCACCTTACAAACCGGTTTGATCAGCAGGTAGGCGGGGCTTCTTTGTGCCTCATGTGATTTGCTTTCTGTGATGTCATCCAGATCCAAAAGTAGAAAAAAAGTGTTTTTGTACATACACTGACCTCTGTCAGGTAGCTCCTCTCTTCTCCAGGATGGATGATAAAAATCAGTGTAGTTTGGCAGCTAAATGGACACAAGTCAGATGAGAAATCGTGTTCAGAGACACAAACTGCTGTGAGATCACAAACAGTGACCTCACAAACATGCATTTAAATTCAAATCTTTAAGACCGCTGCATTAAACTTTGAATGAAACCGTGAATAATAAAGTTTAAACCAGCGGTTACATTCAGCTGAGCGTAATTAAACTCAGTCTGTTAAAGAGTTGGATCCAGATGCTGATGATGTGAGCAGTCTCCACAAACGCCATCAAATTCATTTGCAGTCGGTGATTTGAAGCTCTTTTTACAGTCGAGCTTCAAACACCCGAATCTCCAAATTTAAGACACGAAGCTTCATTAAAGCAGACAAATCGTAAAAAAATACGTTTATTCGGACTTGGTGAAACATATTTGTTCTCTGCAGGTTAAAAATGTTCAGCGGAGTATCGCGTGCTTCTGTAGCTCCTCCTCCTCTTCAGTCTTCGTCATCTTCGTCCTGATCGTCGTCCTCCTCCGCCGCCGCCATCCCCAGACTTCTGCGTTTCTTCTCCCCTCTCGTCTCCTTCCTGTCCTCTCCCTCCTCCTCCTCCTCGTTGTCCTCCTCCTCCACTGCCCCTCCATCACCGCCATCCCCCTCCTCCTCACGGGCGTTGCAGCGGCTGCAGTGTCTCCTGAAGCCTCCCAGGAAGTGCGACCTGAAGCAGCAGAAGGGGCAGGCGTAGCGGCCGGGCCGGTGGGCGGAGCTGATGTGCCGCTGCAGCCGGCTCGGCAGGAAGAAGCTGCGCTTGCAGTCCTTGCAGCTGTACGGCCGCTCGACGTCGTGGCAACGCACCACGTGACTGATGGCAAAACCTGCGGCGACACAGATGACAATAAAAACATAAATCTATAGTTTTTGATGTTGGATTATTTTTAGTTATCCGTTTGCTTGTTTGGTTTAAAAAAAACAATTAGATAAAGATTTTTATTTTTTTTTAGTTTTGTTTGCTTAAAAAAAACAACCAAAAAGATACAATTACCAAATATAAGCTGATTAAAATTCTTTTGTTGTTGCTGTTGTTATAAAATATAATAATTCACATAAAATAAGTCAAAAAAGTCATATCTACCAGTAATCTTTTTAAAAGTCCAAAAGAATACTATAGAAGTCAGCTTAAAGAGTAATTAAAATGTAAAGATTGTGTTTACATTTTCTGGCATTTTATGTCTGCTTTTCTTCATTTCTGGGATTTTAACTCACATTTACAAATTTAAAGCAACAGCCCGATGTGGTATCTGTGCCATGCATACAAGCTTTAAGACGTAAATATCACATTAAAAGGTCATTTTTGTAGTTACGGTAGTCTCTTCTAAATATATTTTAAAATGTTACCACCAGGGGGCAGTGTATCACCACAAAGTTTTATTGTCCCAGTTTAGTGCAGTCCTCCAGGTAACAGTCTGTTAAACAGCTACAAAACACAGAACGCTAAGTAGTACAGAAGTGTTACATTACATATACATGTAATAACTGCTTTCTGCCCCCTGCTGGTCATTACAAAAAATAGCAGGTTCAGGGATTCGTACCTGGGACCTCGAGTTCATGTCTTTTATCTGCATCAGTTTGATTTGAGCTGCGTGCGTGGGCGGGTACCTTTGAGTTTGGTCTTCCAGCCGCACATCAGGCACACAAAGCGGTTGGAGATGAAGCGCACCACTTTGGCCGTAGCCTCCATCTCCTCCTTCAGCAGCTCACCGCTCAGCCCGGCCACCGATGCCTCCTCCTCTTCCACCCCCCCGCCACTCTGCGTCTGGTTGGCTGCAGCAACGTCACGTCTGATGGCCTGGTTGGCGTACGCTTTGGGAATGTTGTGCTTGCGCACCACGTGGCTGACACCCACAGCTTTCAGCTTGTTCTTCCAACCACAGATTAGGCAGCGGTACCTGGCGCCATCAAACAGTAGCACACTTTTGTCTTCATACTCACATTTAACCGACTCCACCCCCTCTCCTTCCTCCTCTTCTTCACCCTCACTGCTCCTCTTTCTTTTCAGGACGTCCCTGCATCCTTCCTCCTCTTCCTCAGTCTTGATGCTCTTTATTTTAGATTCATCTTTCCCTCCTTCTACTTCCTCCTCATTGCTCTTCTTTCTTTTGGCGTCACCTTTCCCTTCTTCTTCTTCCTCTTCCTCAGTCTTAATAGTTTGCTTTCTTTTGGTGGCATCTTTCATTTCTTCGTCCTCCTCGTCACCCTTCTCGCTCCCGTTGTCGCCTCCCTTGTCCCTTTCATCCATGCAGTGTTTGGTGATGATGTGCTTGTAGAGCTTGGTGAAGTCTCTGCTGGTGTAGAAGCAGTAGGAGCAGTGGAAGAGCCGGGCGCCGCTCTGGTACATCAGGATGTTCCCGAGGCGTCCCATCACCACACCGTCAAGGCAGGAGGGGTGGGATGCCGCAATGTGGGAGAGCTGGTGGGCGTGGCTCTTGGAAAAATGGCCACAGTGGGGGCACTGGAGGTGAGCCGCGACACCCCCGCCTACTTCACCACGAGTCTGTATGATAACAGACATCCCTGCAAAGATAGTACAGAGCAGGTCAGGACCAGGTGAGCTCAGAAAACTGCCACTAAGATCAAGATAAAAAATTCTTAAAACTGAATGTAGAGTGCGTTCTGGTGGACAAACTATGCAACACCAACAGTCATAACATGGTTGAACGGTGTTTCTCTTGTCTCTTCTATATTTTTGTTTTCATTTCTTTATTGCTTGTTATAAATAGATTGGGAAATAGCAAAATATATGTCGGGCTCGATTTATCCAATTTCGAAATATTTGCTCAGTGTGAATTTGTAACAACTTTTTTTTTCCAACAGAAAGTATATTTTATGTCTGCTTCAACCAGGAATACAAAACTTCAAAAACAGCCAATGTTAGACCTTTACCGAAACCAAATTGTGCATGTTACATGTAAAAATCTGTGCTGTGCTTTAACTTGTGGGATGAGAATCATCTTCCCTCGTGGTGTGAACTCTGCTGTCACACAAGCAGCAGAAATGTGTGGGGTTTTTTTTTTTTATTTTGTTTTTTACTATAGTCCGATTTAAAATAGCAGCTCTAAATATATATAAAAAATAAACAGATTCCATTAAAATAATCTAACACTTCAGGAAATCACAACCAGGTACTTTGGACGTCTCTTTACTTCCATCCCTCCACAGCCTGTAAACTTATCTTCATCAAATACATTCAACCTTTAAACGGATTCTTTTAATATTTAATCTTTTTTCCCCCATTAACAGTGATACAATTCCAACACTTAAGCACATTTAGGAGTGAGATTTGTCTCCAGAGTAAGTCACCTTATCCTGGTTCATCCCGGTTTATCCTGGGACTGGGATAACGGTAACCCTGCTCCTGCACGCTGTTCACATCAATGGGATAGAAGAGCGCAGCTAACAGGCTTGCCTGCACTAAAAACTACACATTTAACCAGTTTTTTCCACCCACCTGACTCCACCGCCGGCTGTGTTAGTTTGTAACAAAGTTCCTGAACCTGAAATGACAATAAAACCACTCAGGAGAAACATTTGAACCGGATTAAATCTCTATCTTTTAGGCTAACCGCCAGCCTGCTCAGCAGATTCTCCGCTACCGCCCTTTTCCGTGTTTACCTCCAGCACAGCCAATCAACTCACTTCAGCCGTCCGCCACTGACCAATCACAAAATTCCCTTAACCAGGCTCTCGTCTAGCATTCAATTGTCGCGAGATCTCTGGGGTGTTTTATAATTGTCGGACATTCCTTCGTTTATAGAGGAAAAAAACATAAAATCTTCCGGCTCTGGTGAGACAAACTAGCCTACACTTTCAAGTGAACTAGAAATAAATGAATAAAGATAATACAAGAAACTGATACATAAATTTTATTGAATATTATTTATAATCAGGCTGAAACGTGTGCTCCTTAGTCTGTGATTAATAAGGCTGATCCTGTTTCCAGAAACCCACCACCTGCTGAGGAAGCAGGGCACTACATCTCTGTCATCCACTGCTTCGTCATCACTCATAAAGGTATTCTTGTTCTTTATTCTTCTTTTTTTCTTTGCTCGTTTTGTTTTGCTTGTTTTTTCTCTTCTCTTTTTTTAGGGGGGGGGGTCAATAAAGTCGGTGTCCTGGCTTCAGTTTCGCTTGACTGGATTAGTTTCGCTGTGTTTTACTTTGTAACCCCTCCCCCACCCCTTTTTAAGAAATCTGAATTTATGTGTTGATTCCACCGGCTGTGGCCAAGATGATAGAGCAGGTCGTCTACCTATTGATCTCCACACCATCTGCTTCAAATTCTTCTTCACTGTAACATCACTGTAGTTCCATCACATCCTTTTTTCAACAATATGTGTTTTTCTTAATGAAGGAATATTTTCTTTTCTTTTTTTCTCTTTTTTTTCTCTTTTTTTTTTTTTGCCTGTCCCATTTGGTTCTTTAGCCGTCAGAATTGTTGTCTGAAGACCAACAAGGATACCCAATGGATTTACATTGCCAAATGGATCATCACGGCCTTGCCGTATTGGTCCATTTGATTGACCTTTGTTGTTATTGTTTATTTTATTTTATTTTCAGTTGTTGCAGACGGGACAGACATGGCTGGGGGATAGGAAAGGGAGAAAGAAAGATGAAGGAAAAGAAAAACAGAAGGGAAGAGGGACAGTGAGAAAGGGCACTTAAAAAGAGAAAGAAGAAAAAAATCTCCTGGATCACCTGTTGAGAGAAAAAGAAGAGAAAACAAGCAAAAAAACCAGAGCAACATACTAAACACAACACCATCGCATCAATCTAGCTAAGTGTAAACAGCAGTAAATACTAATTACTGAATGTTGTTGTGCAGCACGCAGGAC